TCTGAGGTTCCCCATTCATTGGAACTCCAAAGTCCTGCCTTGTAGAGGGGTAATTACAGCTCCTGGTAACTTCAGAAATTTTCTATCCCCTCTTCAAGGGAGAGAACCTTGTTCATTTGGAAGAAAACCATGAGAAATGGCTACAACTCTTGACGTCATCATGCTTTTGGCAAAGCAGTTATGATATTCATGTTTGGAACACAAATTAAGCATTGTCATTAACTCATTTGTGCAACATTTAGAGATTGTAAGAGATAAACTTGTTATTTTTGTGTACTCTGTGCTAAAGTTAGAATCTTGAAATCCTTGCAAATAAATCCTTGCAATTTCATTTTTACACCTGTCCTTTATATGAGGTCTATAGTATTAGGGACCTATCTTACATTTGCACAAATAGGACAGAGATGAATTAAGTGATCTTCCCAAATGTTGTGAACTGAGTAAGTATGAATATTACCCAAGGGGTTCCCAGTTCTCCTGTTCCAGGCAGTGGCTCTCCACCAGGGGTGATCGTGTATCCAGGAGACATTGGTGATGTTTGGGTTGTTAAACTGGGGAGTTGGTGCTACACCTGGTAGGCTGAAGTCAGTGATAGCACTCATCATCCTGCAAGTAGCATAACGTAGTAGTATCTAGCTCCAAGGTCAAGAGTGAGTCGTTTGAAAAATACTTTTCCAGACCAGAACTTCTCCAATATCACTCAGGGATCTGGTTTGAATGCAGATTATGGTTTGGGTAGTAAGGGTGGCAGAAATTGATCATTTATAACCAATGCCCAGTTAATATTGATCACCTTTTTTTAAATAGATAAAATTGTATTCATTATGACATAAATGATATTGTTTTGATGTGGTTATGTATATTGGAATGAATAAATATAGCTCATTTAAATACAAATTTTTTCAAATAGTTTCTATTTTTGTGGTAAGAATACTCAATATTCACTCTTGGTACTTTTCAAGATTCATTCAACATATTGTTACCTGTGCTTACCATGGTGTGCAGTAGTAGATCTCTCCTCACTTATCCCTCCTAATTAAATATTGTATCCTTCAGCCAACATCTTCCCAACTTCCTTTTCCAAGTCCACCCGCACCTCCTAACTACCATATGAACCTTCATTTCTATATAATCAAATATTTTAGATTCTGACAGATCCAATGGCACACACCTGTAATCTTAGTGACTTGAGAGGTTGAAAAGGAGGATTATAAGTTCAACGCCAGCCTCCGCAATTTAGTGAGGCCCTAAGCAACTTTGTGAAATCATGCCTAAAAAGAAAAAAAAAACGAAAACAAAAAGGGCTGGAGGTATGGCTCAGTGGCAAAACACCACTGTGTTCAATCTAGTACCTTTCCTGCCCCCCCCAAATTAGATTCTGCATAGTGAGGTCATATGGCAGTTGTCTTCCTGCATCTGCCTAATTTCATGTAACAAAAAAAGTTTCATGTATTTTGTTGAATGTGAACAATTTCATCCATTTTTATGACTGGATTATATTTCATTTTTGTGTGCCAAATTTCCATTATTCATTCATCTGTAGATGGACACTTAGGTAGAATCCAGATCTTGCTTTTTTAAAATAATTCTTCAAAGAATATCGAAGAACAAATATCTCTTTGAATACTAATTTCATTTGCTTTGGATGACTACCCAGAGGTCGGATTGCCAGATACATGATGGTTCCATTGACCACTGAGGCTGTTGTCTAGCATCAGAGTGAATCGCAGGCTTCTAGGCCTTCTCTACCATGAAGGCCTCCATCAGCTCTGTTCTGATCTTAGGTGGTCAAATGTGGACTCAGCTCAGCTTCTGCCTAGACAAGTTGACACTGGCCTCTTTTACATGTCCTTCATAACAGGAAATCCAAATGTACAGACCTTGGCTCCTTATATACAAACTGGTTAGATTCCCCCTTCTTCATGGAGTTTCTATGTGCCCTAAGCCGTAGGTTGAAGCTCACAGGAAATGACCTGCCCAGAGCAGATGCTCCACAGATAGCAGCCATTGTGACCATCACCTTGCTCCTCATTGGCTGAGGTCACTGTGACATCACAAGGGTTTCCTGGCACAGGAAGTGAGTCCAACATTGAGCTGCTCCTAGGAGACAGAGAGGGTGGTGGACCAGACCCAGGCAGGCAGCTCAGAGCCTGAGTCCTCCACTCTGTGCTGTGTTGGACTCATGGGAACTGTCTCTGACCCACTCATAATGGCACCCAATAGGCACAGTAAGTGTTTTCAATCTCTTCGAAGCTGCTTCACTATGTTTCGATTTTGGCAAGATCTGTAAAGCTAATGTCTCTGGTTGTGTCAAATGATTTCTCCCCTCATCCTCCTCCTTGCAAATCGAGAGCACATGATGCACAGATTTTGATGTCATCATAAATATCTTTTCTGTTTCTGCCCCAATAGCATTTGAGTTATGCCTCACAATTGCTTATTGCTCCTGCTTTCTCTAGGAAGAGTGTATCACTCCACCTAACTGCTTTGAGCCTGGACAGAGTCTCATCTGATCCAACTGAATGTCCCCAGAGGGCCTCTTGACTCTGATGAGTGGATGATTAAATTAGGGTTCCACCTTGACTGGCTTGTGGGATGTTGAGGGTTGGTAAATCCCTTCCAAGTGTGTCTGGAAGGCTCTTTCCAGAGACGAGTGTTGTGGGTTCTGCAAACTGAGTGGGAAAGATTTTCCCTGAATGTGGGACACAGTATGTAAATATCTGAGGCCAGGAAGGGACTGGAAAGTGGAAGAAGGGGGACACTCTCTCTGTTCTTCCTCTGGAAACAGGGCTGGTTGTCTTCTGCTGCTTCTGTCAAGTATCAGTCTTTAGTTTCTTCAGTATTTGGCGTGTGGGACTTGCACCAGAATCTTCTGAAGCTCGTGGGCTTTGAACCTTTTGGCTGGGGCCTGAAATATTGTTCTGTCGGGTTCTGAGAGTTCCAGCTTTTTGGACTGAGTAATGTGGTTTGCTTCTCTGGTCTCCAGCTTGCAGAGGACATTATAGAAATACTCATCCTCTGGAATTGTATGAGTCAATCCTGTCTGTATCCTTATCTCTATCCTTCGGTCTTCTGTCCATCCATCTACCCTCTGTCAGTCTGCTAGTTTGGTTTCTCTGGAGAACCCTGACTGATACATGTGACATCCATTAATTTACAGAATGTGGGGAGACACACCTTGCTAGGAGTCATGAGAGTCTTCACTTCCCCTGTCTTTCTCTCTATTAGGATGATGAGCACCTCTTGCCTAGGAGGGGTCCTCAGCTGTGATCCCCAAATGATGATGCACATGGAGTAGAGCATGGCCTGGGCAGAGTCACACAGTCTGCCGCCTACATGCAATGTGGTAGGGACTCCTCTCTCTTTATATGGAAGTGTTGAGATCGAAGGTGTTGTTTGTTATCAAAGCAAAGTTGAGCCACTCACCCCTTTATGGTGCTTAAATTATTTAACAAACATGTAGGTGGACACACAGTGTATATGCTTGTTTGTGGCTTATACAAGGGCATTAAAACCAGGCTGGGAGGTGTGGTAGGGAGGCTGGATAATAGGCACCCAAACACAGTGAAACAGAATATGTGCTAGTTTCCTACAGTACCATGGGACTCCTGTGATATTTAAGAATCTATTATATAATTTATAAACAGCTAGAAGAGCAGAGCTTGAAGGCTTCAAACACAAAGTAATGATAAGGGCATGGAAATCTCCCTGATTTTACCAGTACATATTATATATACTGAGAAATCAAAGTATACCCTGTAAATATGCACAAATTTAATGTATTATCAAAAAAATGGAAGATGGAAATGGTAACCAGCCTGATTAGATTATTGCAAACTGTGTACATGTGGATACACACTATGACCTTTGATTTTTTGCAAGTAAAATGGTAACCTATATGAGAGTGTCCCCTTTCCCTTTTCCTATCCTTTAATAAACTCTCAAAGGAGAAGAGTGAGTCCCCTCAGAGAGGAGAGGGACAGAGTGCCTCTCCTGAATTCCAGTTTTAATGGGGATCCCAGAGAGCTTTCCGGAGATTCCTGCTCATGTCCACTTCTTGACATTTGATTGACAGTAGGAAGACATCAGACTTACATGTCCCTATTGTCATGACAACTCTAGGTTATCTTGGCCCATGGTGACAGGTTCTAATGGGATACTTAGCCACAAATTCTTATAGATTCATGGTTAGAATCATTACCTGTATCTCCCTGAGTTTCAAAATCTGGTTTGTGAAAAGGCTCACAAAATCTCCCCTTTCAGAGTAACTTAAGTTTCTCTTATTGACATTATTTTGGACCTGTATTTCTTCTGCATATAACACATAGTTTGCTGAGGAATGTGACACATTCTGTCCACTTGGGCCAGGCAGGGCCACAGGTAAATTGCTCCTTGGAAAAGAAAGCATGTGGGGATCAGCCGAGTGGGCCTATTTTATAGAACTATTCCCTTAACCTTGTGCATCTGTCTGTTTCCCTAGCAAGATGAAAATGGATTCCCCACTTCTCTTGATAGAGGGGTTTGCGCAGACTACAGGCTTTGCCAATTTCCTTCTGGGTTCTTGTCTCACAAATTTAAAGAATAAATGGAAGGCAAGAATAAACAGAGTAAGATTTATTTGAGTGAGAGCAGAAGAGAACTCCTGCAATGCAGGAGGAGACTCAAGAGCAGGAAAATGGTTTTGGTTGCTACACTAGGGGATAATACGGTTTTTGGTCTGAGCATTGTCCAAAATCTATATTAAGCAGGCATTGAAAAAAATACCAAAACCATTGTCTGTGTCCTTTAGCTTTTGAGTTTTAACTCTTCCAGTAATTCCCATCAGGGTCATCTTTACTTTCCATTTTCCCCCAATCTGGGGCAAAGGACTTGGAAAGTTCCCAAGGGTAAGTCTCATGGTTTTTATACTTGGAAAAGGCATCAGGGGGCCCATTTACTGTTTCTAAAGATTAGTTTCCTGGTGTGGTCTTTCCATTTCAAACAAGACCTTCATTGAGGCCCATTACCCTGATTGCCTGACCATTGACTATTCTCATAGTTATTATGAAAAGAGCATTGTAGTGGCACCAAAACAGTCATGAAAACCAGTGGCAGTGAAGAGAAAACACAGAGACAAACCCATAGATGGAGTCATCTGATACTTGATAAAGCATTGCAGAGAAGACACTCCCCCATATTTTATGTTAGTGCATTATACCTGCAGTTATGGGTGGGATTTGTTACGTATTCACACATGCACATAATTTAACCATAGCATTTGGCCAGTATCACTCCCCTGTATTTCCCTTTTCCCTTCCCTCCTCCCACCTCCCAAGAATCAATAAGGGGGATTTAATTTTAATCAAATTAAAAAATCACTTGCACAACAAAGGAAACAAAGAGTGTGTAGAGGGAATCTACAGGATGGGAGAAGATCTTGGCCACTTGCAGCTCAGACCAGGGATTAATATCCACAACATACAAAGAACTAAAAAAAACTTAACACCAGATAACTAAATTAAGAAATGGGCAAAAGAACTAAACAGAGGTTTCTCAAAAGAAGAAATAGAAATGTCCAAGAAATATAAGAAAATGTCTCAACATCTCCACCAACCAGGGAAATGCAAACTTAAATTATACTGAGATTTCATCTCACTCCAATCAGAGTGCTAAGTATCAAGAATATAAAAAATAATAAATGCTGGCAAAGATGTGGGGAAAAGATATATTACAAGTTGTTGGAGAGAGTGAAAGAAAGCATAACTACTCTGGAAAGAAGTATGGAGATTCTTGAGAAAACTAAGAATGGAACCATCACACCATCCAGCTGTCCTACTCCTTAGTATATATCTAAAAGATCTAAAATCGGTATTGTAAGAGTTCTGTGTTTGGGATTGTGGTCTCTGATGACTTCATGGCTGTGGCAAGCTTGGTGGCTGCGAACGTTTCTGTCCAAAAATACAGGATGCCTAACTGCTGTAGCAATGTCCTCCATGAGGAGGCTCTGTGCTAGAGCCTTATCAGCCTCAACCTTGATCTCAGGCACACAGCTCCTGGGAGTAAAGAAACTCTCTTGTTGCACAACCATAATGTTTCACCAAGCTCCACTGCAACAGAACCTGTCCATATAACAATAACTTTAAACAATGGACTTTCTTGAGAGCTACACAGATATCCTAACATTGCACATTGCAACTGTGGTATGTAACTGTGGAATAAGCTACATAATGTTGCTAACTCTGTAACCTGCATAAGGACACAATGAACAATAATGTACTACTGATGCCAGTGACCTAATGAAACCTATTGATATAAATAAAGCTGTCAGCTTGGACAAGAGGCCATTCTGCCTCTGCAATCCCTTCTGTCTCCTTTTGATTTCTTTTAAAAGTATACTACAATGAGAATGCCACATCAATGTTTATAGCAGGATAATTCATATTAGCCTATATGCCTGTCAACCGATGAATGCATAAAGAAAATATGGTATTTATGCACAGTGGAGTTTTATTCAAATGAATGACCTAGAGAACATCAGGCTAAGTGAAAAAAAGCAAGATCCAGATGTCAAGAGTGGAATTTTTTCTCTCATATGCAAAAACTAGAGCAAAATAAGGAAAAAAGGAGGGAGGGGAATTCCTGAAAATGGGAGGGAGATTAGTGAAGGAGAGAAACAGGTTTGTGCGGGAGAGAGGAGGGCAGAATGGTGGAATAAAATTAAACAAACTATGCTACGTACATACATGAATTTACCACAGTGAATTTCAATTTCTGTATATCTATAAAACACTAATTATAAACAACATAAATAAATGTAAGTAAGACCAATAGAGTAGAGAAGTGTAACAGGAGAGGGAGGAGGGCTAGATGGTGACTGAGTGGAGCAAATTATATTCTATGCTTATGTGATTGTGTCCAAGTGAACCCCAATATTATGCATAACTATAATGCACCAATAAAGACAAAATATTTTTTAAATGACAAAAATTGCAAAAGACTTGAAGACCATCTTCAAAAAATATTTGGAAAAGGTCAATAAGCACAGTAAACAAAATGTCTACACTGGAGCCCAGCCAGGAAAGGCAGAGTCTATACTGTGAAACACCACGTTCCATCACTTTGATCACACTTGTCCAGGCACAGCATCAGTATCACTGTCATCATAAGGTCAGAAGGCTGCACAGAGTGTTCCCAGGGCCCTCTTCATGTTCCTGTTCTGCAGGCTATAGATGTAGGGGTTCACCATGGG